GATAAAACCTAAAAGGCTCAATCTATAAAGTCATGTTTGCTTCTTCAATACCCAGCTGAGTACCAAACCACCCTCCCTCCTGGAAGCTTTCCTTCTTTCCACAGCTGGGGTTAATCACGCCCTCTGATCTTGCACAGAACTTTGGTTACATCTGTCGTAGTTCATATCGCACTCTTTGATATAGAATCCCCAGCACTTTTTATTGTATTTCAAAATGTATGCAGGCTTGGCTTTTTCCCCCCTCAGTCCCTCCCTCCCTCTCTCACTGCTTTCCTCTGCTTCTTCTCTCTCTCTCCTCTCTTTATCCCTCCCTGTCTCCTTACTCCATCCCTCTCTCTTTTTTTCTTTCAGCTTCTATGTTGGCTTCTTACTGCTTGTAGGACCAGATTCAGATTCATCACTCTGATATTCAAGGCCCTCTTATAAATTAGGTTATATTTTCAGTTGCTCTAGTGTGAATTCTTCAAATATTATACCTCATTCTGATAGATAGATAGATAGATAGATAGATAGATAGATAGATAGATAAGCAGGCAATTGAGAGAGGAGTTTCAGGTGATTTTTTTTTTTTTTTTTTTTGCTTTTTACGTACATGTATTAGGAAGCAACGTGGTTCATCATGGAATGCGTAGTCTACCTGCGTTCAGATCTCTCCTCTACAGCTTACTGGCTATATGCCCTTGGTAGACTGCTCTGTAATCCTCTCTAAACCTCACCTTCCACAACTCGAGTACTACATTGCCTACATTAGCCTGCCCTCTTCAGGATTACATTTTTTAAATTCCTATAAAATGATCAGTACCTCATAGGTAGTAACACACACACACACACGGAAAATATAGTCTCTTTTTTTTTGCATATGAAAACATAGCATGGACTCGTATGTCTGGAAAGAAATACTCTCTATTATTTTTAATACTACCCAGTAGTAAATGTGTTTTGATAAAATAATGTTATACAAATAAACAACTGTTTTATTAATTTTATCTCTTTTTAGTGGGAAATGGAGAAGAATCTAACATGCACGGAGTTATACTCTGTGCTGGAAGCTTACACACTCGTTTATAAACACTCTTTTCATTTTATAAACCAAATGAGGGGAAAACAATAGCCCCATGTTACTGATGAAGAAACAGTGTTTCAGAGAAGTTTAGTAGTTCACCACAATTACATAGCCAGTAAGTGGTGGTCAGAATTGTACTGTCCACCACAATATGCTGCTTCTTACACCAAATGACAGAAATAACTTCTATAAGTATGGTGACCAGAAATTCAGACTTGGAGTCTAGCAAAGGAGTTTTGTTATGTTGATATGGCGATCTCTAGTATGGTTTCTGTTTTGTAATATTTGACATTAGGCCTATTTCACAAGATACAGGAATAAGGCAGTAGGGCTTTGCTTACTAGTCAGTCTTTCCAAACAACTAAAAAATGTCAAAGTTGCCTGTAGATTATTAAACATGTCATATTCAGTGGTAAAGACTGCTATGTTGTCAAAGGCCTAAAGAAAGAGGAACATTTGTTTTATTATTTCTGTCCATTCTTCAGTGTTTTGTTTTGTTTTTTAAATGTTTTTATTGATTCTTTTAGAGAGACAGGAAGAGAGAGAGAGATACAAACATCAGTGTGAGAGAGAGACATCAGTCGGCTGCCTCTTGCATGGCCCCTACTGGGGATCAAGCCCACACTGGGAATTGAACCAGCACCTCGCAGTCCATGGGACGATGTGCAATTCACTGAGCCACACTGGACGGGCTTTTCTAGTGTTCTTTAAACCTCTCCCTGATTTTAGGAATGGCAGAATTACCTAGAAAAATCCCAGGCTAGTTTGTCTTGAGGTTTTTGTTTTGTTTTATTCTTTCCATTGCCTGATTTTGTCTAATTAGTAGAATCAGAATTCAGTGGTGGTTAGCCAGATGTGAACTATCTTACATTAAACAGAACCTTCAACAGTATTATCCATATAAAGTTATCATTTTAATTTATTCATATTCAGTCAGGAACATGGCTAAGTTCCAAATTTCCACTAAAACATTTCTACCTCAAGTATCTCACCACTGTCCAGGGACATTGTTTATAATTTATATCATTCTCCTAATGTCCCATCTAATTAGTTATTCTGGATAGACTTAATACTGTTTGTTTGGTTAGTTGGTTTTGTTTTGTTTTGTGTAGGAATTTATGCTTTTCTGTGTGTGCAATTGTCTGTTTAGGAAAGCTGGTATTTTTAAGAAACAGGCTATATTATTATTCTTTTGGGTGGAAAATGAGGTTTAGTTTAGTTTTTGCTTTTGTTTTATCTAGTTTTTACTTTTATTAAATTAAGGAATCGATTAAATTAAACCTAACAAATCTATTACTCCTCAGTTTTGTTTTGTTTTTTATCCTCACCCAAGGATATTTTTCCCATTTATCATCAGATAGAGTGTGGGAAGGAGCTAGAACGAGAGCAACATCGATGTGAGAGAGACACATTGACTGGTTGCCTCCCTCACAACCCAGCCAGGGCTGGAGACAAACCGAAACCGAGGTACATGCCCTTGACTGGAATCAAATCCATGACTCATGAGTCTGAGGGCCGATGCATTTAGCAGTGTTTATAGAGTGCTCTTACCAAGACCAGAGTGCTGGTCAGGACTTCCTTTGTTAAACTAGATTGTCCTCCTTGTTTATTTCTTACTGCTCCTATTGCTTCTAAAATAAGCTTGATAACAGTTATAAGGACCAGATGGTTTATCTCTGGTGAGCACTCATAGCACAAATTCTTTTAAGGAAAAAGAAGTAAAGAGAGAATACCTAAGTGCTGTTTTCCCAATCATTATGTTCCAGAAATGGGGCTAAGTGGATCTTTTGATCAAAATTCAGTTTTCTATAAACTTCCTTTATCCCCACTTTACTTTTCCTCTACGGAAAGATGCTTTTCATATATAGTGATGGAAGTAGCCAAATGGTGTGCCTGGCAGTCTTGGAGGAGGAATCTGGTTGATGTGGGTGATGTTTCCATTGGGATAGCATCTTCTAGATGATTGCATCGATTATAACATAAAAATATGTGTGTCTGGAAAGAACAGGCAGAGATAGTAAAGACATCTCTAATTCCAAGTGATCTTCATACAGTCATTTGTAATGACGGATTTTAAAAGAATATGTCAGGCTTTTTTATTGTTTTAGTGATAACACTGATTTCTTTGGAGGGGGAGGAATGCAGGAAGTACACATGTCAGCAGCGTGAGCTTGAGTTCCCTTGGTGACTGAATTCAGTAAGCTGTGGTCACAGCCAGGTACCAAGGGCTGCAGATGGTAGAGTGCTGGTCTATGGGAGATTATCTTTCTTCCATAGTTACTTTAGAATGCAGCATATTTTTAATTGGCTAACTCTAGTTCTAGACACTTAAATCTTCCAGTAACTATTGCCACAAATGTTCTAGTCACACATATTTTGCCCACTTCTGATGGAACTCTATTAGTAATGATAATAACTACCATTTATTGAACCCTCATATTGTGTCAGGTACTATTCTAAGTTCTATAAATATATATTAGCTCATTTAATCCTCACAGCAGCCCTGTGAGGGTAGGAGCTACTTTTATCACCATTATATAGATAAGGAGACTGAGTCACACAATTAGCAGAGACTTGAACCTAGCAGTCTGGCTACAGAGCCTGTACATTTAATTTTGTTTTTTATTTACTTAAAATGATCTTTTTTACATATAATTTTGATGCCATGTGCCCTCCATGTGTGTGTGATTAATGCATATGTTCTGTAGACTAAAAGCCCCACATAAAGGAACTTATGGCTGAAGTCTATTTGACCTCTTAGAAATTGTTGACAGTTTTTCAGTCCTTTAATAGGAGACTAAAATAAATTTAAAGTGAGAGTTCACCAATGTATTTTGTCCAAATGATGAATTATTTAATATCTCCATTTTCCACCTGCTGAAATCTTTATTTTGAGGTTTTTATTTTCTACTATGTCTTGTCCACATTCCATTTTCCAGGTGAGTATAGAGGGGTTTTTTTTTTTTTTAATCAATTAAAAAACAGTAAATACTGCTGCTAAAAACCCATTGCTTTTAACATAATGGTTTAAATTTTGCCTCTTGATACTAATTGAATAAGACATTTACAGTTTTTCACATCATATGTGTTTACCTTATGCACTTGGAAAAAGAGAGAAAGAATAACAATTTAAATAATGTGGGTGATTGCATCTGCCATCCCCCTGAGCGAGCATGTGGCCTGGACTGAATGGGTAATGGAGGCCTGAATTTATCTTCCTCTTACACCGATTTTAGTTATGGTGTGCCACTCACTGAGTGTTTCACTCTGCTGGATATGTTTATTTTTTTTATATACAATATGGTCTATAAAAACAAGCCTACAACTGGAAAAAAGTAAGCTGTCCCAAGGCAGGAAGAAAAACTGGTTGTGCCAAAAAATGTGTTGGTCTCTACTAGTTTTTTCAAGGGTAATTCAACAAATACGCAATTTCTGCCCTGTGTGTTTATTTTAGAATGAACTCCTTCTTAAGATGGGATTCCTCTGTACTGAGTGCCTGCCTGCTTGATGCCAGCCACTGTGATAGGTGTCAAAAGAATGAAAATTTGGTTTTGTCCTTTAAATAATTCACAATCTTGATTGCTCATAAGCTAGGGAAGGTAACTATTAGGTAATGGGGAGGAAGAAAAGAATTGTAAAATTAAGTGGGCAAATACTTATAGGTTGCTATAATATGACCCAAAATAGTTCATTTTGGTTGTTATGTTAACTTAAAAAATAAAAAGAATTATCAAGTTTTTTAAAACATTGTTGTATATATGGAAGTGACTTGCTGAACTCTGGGGGTGCTAAAAGAACTATAGGCAAGAGTTTTTGTCCTGAAAAATCTTACAGCTCTATGCAGTTCTCACATCTAATAATCTTGGCAATGTTCACCGGAATATCATGACATTATAATTATACCTGGCCTTACATCATATGTAATGTTTCCTTCTAGGTTTCTATATATTCTGTACCAGAAAAGATTGATCAAGTTCATCATGCCTTTGAAACAACTGTGAAACTTCTTGAGTTTTATCAAAACTACTTTGAAATTCAATACCCACTTAAGAAATTAGGTAAGAATCAAACGATGTCTCTGATTTTCATTACTATTATAACTTAGAATCATTTTGAAAATGATTTTTTAGAAAGAACTCTTGCCAAAGTTACTATAAAAGAAAACCAAGACACAGTTTTAATGATTTTAAAATTGTTTGTATTTAAGATCATTTAGATTTTATGAGTGTATCTGAAGGTGGAGCTTATAACACTTAGAAATTTATGGGGCTGTTACAAAGGTGCTGTGTAAGTGGGAATTTGCTTAGGGCTTAGTCTGGAGTTTAACTAATTCTAACTTCCTAAGAAATTCCTGATTCACATAATAAAAACAGTAATGGAAGCTCTGGAAAGCAAGAGCATTTCAGCGCTCTTCAACCTGGAGCTGGTTCTAGATAGGAGCGCGTGGCCCGGCTCATTGTGAAGGAGCTAAGTATCTCTTCCTTTGCAAAGGGGCAGAGGAACAGTGACTCTGCAGGGGGTTGATCAGGTCTTCCTCAGCTGACCTATCAATGAGGAGCATACAGGGCTAGAGTAAGGAAGGTTCCACTTGTTAGGAGTATAGAGCAAACTCTGCCTCCTGATCCACGTGATAAAACAGTGGGTAAACTATTTTGATTTAACCAGGAAGTACCTTAAATCAAGGAAAGTTGATTACTTTTTTCCTGTTATGTCCAGATTTGGTGGCTATTCCTGACTTTGAAGCAGGAGCAATGGAAAATTGGGGTTTGCTTACCTTCCGAGAAGAGACACTTCTATATGACAGTAATACTTCTTCAATGGCGGATAGAGAACTGGTTACTAAAGTCATTGCTCATGAGCTGGCCCATCAGGTATTAGCAACCAAGGCTCTTATATCTCATACCTGTGGTCTATTCCATAACCTAGAATATTAGAATAGGTTTAGATGCCAATAATAATTTACCTTTTTATTATAGAATTGCTTACATAACAAAGTGATGCTTTTAAACACAACAATTTCAGATGAAAATACTATTTAATGTATTTATAGGACTTTACAGTTTATAAAGCATGTTTACCTGTATTGTCTCACTTTTCTTAACTACTGTAAGGTAGGTGATAATCCCATTTTACAAATGTGGAAACAAGACCTAGTCTTAAATAAATGACTTGCTTAGAGTCACACAGCTACTACTTGGCAGCACTGGGCCCTAAAGCAGCTCTGTCTCGTTCAGACCTCTCTCTTTCCCCCAGTAACACGCAGCGGCTCTGCCTCTGCAAATACCAGCTGCTCAGTATAACTTCGTGGGGGAAAATCTTTTTCCTAAGTTTCACTCTCACAACTCTTGGACTGTAGTTGTCATCACTAGATTTATTTTTTTCTCTCCTGTTAGAACTGGATTTTGTATTAATTTGAGAGAGGAAGGGTACTCTTAGTATGCTATGGAGAAAAAGAAAGAAAATTACACAGGCACATAAATCTTTCTCTGTCTCCCCCAACACCTCTCTCTCTTGTATCCTTGATAAGCTGCTTATCAGTGTTGAGTATGGTTTAGGAGTGTCATGATGGTGGAAGGATATGGAAAAAGAGTAGAACATGCTTGGGCAGTTTACTCCCTATGTCAAGCTCAAACTGAATACGACTGTATAGCCCTGTGAAGACTTCATGAAAAGTTGGCATATGAAACATATACTTACTCACTATTAAAGTGTTAGATGTGTAGATAATGTGTCTTTTAGGGGCTTTCCTCTAGATCTATTATTTCTGAGGGCTGCCCATCACTGCGTGGGGAGTATTTCTCTTACTTCTTCTTGTGGACTTATAAATCATCTTCATCTGTAACAGGTTTTAAGATATCTTTGAAAAATACTTTCCAATAATTCTCAAAAGTGTTTTGTTTCAGTAGCTTGTAACCTTGTTGTTTTGCTGCTAGTTTGAGTCAAGCCCCAGACCACACTGACTATTGCATACCCTATCAACATACTTTATTTCAGGGATTTTTGAGATACATTTTTTAGGAGAGTCTGCTCTCATTTTTTTCTTCTTACTACATTATAGGAAAACATATTTAAGATCTTTCTGATTTCATTTATTTGCATGCATGCCAACTTTCTTAAGGAATGTTTGAATTCTGTTTTGAATCGTGTAAATACTGTCCTCAACTTGAATGAGGAAAAGGTGAAGTATGGGAAATCTGTCACATAGAAATTTATTTTTTTAGTTGTCATGGATGGTTGTAGATGCAATGGAAAATAATCTTACTAACTTAATATTAGAAAGTACATGATTTTATTATCTAGGAAATCTCATTTTTAATGAGGTAACTAAAACCAGTTTTTTTTAACCTAGCGTGTAGCATGTGTTGAATTCTTAAATCTGCTAATTGTGTCTGTCTTGCTTGTTTCCCCATTCACTTAAGGTAAAATATTAAAATTTTTGTTTTATTTTATTTTTATTTTTATTTATTTACTGTTGAAAGTATTATAGATGTCCCCCATTTTTCCCCATTAACATTTTTATTTTATTCTTAAACTAAATTTACACAACTTTTCTAAGTCTTTAATTTAAATATAGTTTGTTTTAACTATAATGACTATTTTTAAATAATCATTATGTAGTTATAGGTGATAAATCTAACAATTCAATTATTAAAATATTCTTGAAAATGTAAATATTGTGTTGGTTAGTGGTTTGCTTTTATCCCACAGTGGTTTGGTAATCTGGTAACAATGCAGTGGTGGAATGATCTATGGCTCAATGAAGGTTTGGCTACTTTCATGGAGTATTTCTCTTTGGAAAAGATATTCAAAGAGCTGTCCAGTGTAAGTACAGTGTTTTTTAGGCCTACTATGAATGCGGGGGTGGGGGTGGGGGCAGTCAAATTGCATTTGTCCTTTATTTTCTATGCATTTGCAGAAATGAAAATGAAACAGTAAATAGAAAGAAACAGTAAAATTGGTCTCTGTTACTTATATCTCTACCTCTTGAGGTCTGACAATGAAAATTATGCTTTTATTTACTGATATATTTCATTGAAATCAGAAAGTGTGTGAAATTATTTTACATTTTGTTGTTAGGATGAACATTTTAAATTGATTGTTACATTTTATTTTTAATAATTTTGATTTTTATGCTTGAAGAAATTTAGATATAGTTGAAAAGCCTTTTTTTGCAAAACAAAACTATATGTCCTGTGCATTAAGAAAAAAATTGATATTTTGTAGCAGTGCTGTCTGTTATCACTTTGATCATGCTTATAACAGTGATACATAAGTTGATACAGACAATTTGTCCTTTTTAGATACAAACCATATTTTGTACACCATTCTGTTATAGAGAGTATAATAATGTCACTATGTTATTAGACTCTGGAGATGTTTCCCATACTTAGAGATATTTGGACACACTAAGCTATGATATGACAGATTTTGCCAAATAATTCAAGCAATAGGTGGGAAAGTATAAAGATCCCTTTCAACTATAAAATTCTGTGATTTTCTATTAAACTTCCTGGCCATATGATCTAAGACTTCTTTATACTCTTAGAGCTTACAATAGGAAATTTTTGTGTAGGGCCTCTTCAGATAATTCAAGTGACGTAGAAGGAACTCATATTTAGCTAAAAGACTAAACAAGATTCTTTAATTCTGTGTTTGCTCCTTAATTAAGCAGTGAGGTTCACCATTTCGCCACTTGGTGGTGCCCAGAATGTTTAAAAGCTTTTAATATATATTCTAGGGAAGCTCATCTGCTGAGCTCTCAAAGAGAGTTATATTTTATTTCAAATGAACTTTAGTTAAAGGAAATGTATATTATATTAATAGAAAAGCTGGACTGTATATGGTAAGTCAGCTTAAAGACCAGTTTTTATTTTTGTTTTTTAATTTCAGATTTTATTTTTAAAATATACACTTATCTTTTTAGACTATTCATCTTGAATATCAGGATTTGGTTGCTTTAGTAATAGAATCTTAATTTATCCTTATACTGTTATTTAGGAAACACTGTTTTTCATGTGGCCAGAAATTTATAATTTTATTTTTAAATTTAAGGAATATACGTGAATGTCACATTCTTTCTATATTTTCAAAAACTTATCTTCTGAAGTTTAGTAAATCTGATTATTTTTAATAATGCTCTTAAGCAGTAGTCTAATTTATACAAATGATTGCTATACTTGCCTTTGCCTTTGATGCTGTTCATGATTTCCTAATCTGTTTAATTTTTCACTAGTATGAAGATTTCTTAGATGCTCGATTTAAAACTATGAAGAAAGATTCCTTGAATTCATCTCATCCAATATCATCATCTGTTCAATCTTCAGAACAGATTGAAGAAATGTTTGATTCTCTTTCCTATTTTAAGGTATTGCTATGCACAACAGTACCTGGATTAGGTTTCAAATTAATTTCATATGTGAACAAGCTGCATGGTTTAGATATTCAAGGATTAAATGAGTATTATTTTCAAGTATCCTGCTAAAATTTGAGATATTTGCTTCTTTTTAAATCTTGGTCTTAACTTTTTCTAGGTTATTCTTTTTTTCTCTGTCTCTCATTTAAATTCTCTGACTACTATTCTGAGCAGTTAACTAGATCTTAAAGCAATATATCTTTTGAAGTTGGTTCACTCTTTAGGTCTATAGGTAGAATATGTTCAGGGTGGGTCCTAAGCAAGCCCTTGACGGTGTTACACAGGATTGATGTATATTCCAAGTAAGTAAACAGATATTTTAAGAATTGAAGAATTAGGAGATTCCAATATGGAAGCTACTCTCATCTCCTCTGGCACCAGATTTACAGCTAAATTACAGAGCAATCAACCTGAATAACCAACTGAAGGACAGATAAAGAGAAGTATTATAACCTGGGATTTGCAGAAGAAGCCACATAGAAACTGGTAAGAAGAACGAAGATGCATAGGGGGCTGGCCCCTGCACCGATGTGCTGTGGGTGAGAATCCTGCGCATAAGAATATATTTTATCCCTGAGAAGTCACAGGGATATCTTGGCTGCAAAAGTCCCCCCTGAGGAGCATGGGGGGTCTCAATTCCATGTTGGGATCCTCAACCCAAAGCATTATAGCCAGAAAGAGGAGCCTGCATAGCATCTGGCAGTGAAAATCATTGGGGACTCTGTGTGCCTGGAAGAGGAGGGAGTCTGCTAGAAACCCAGGTTCTCTCTTAAAAAGCCAACATACAGGATCTTGCTCTCAGACACTCACCAGGGGCACCAGTAGAGGGAAGGAAACTCAGGGCATATGGGAGTCATAAAGAGAAAATCTAAAGAGAAGATCTGGATGACGTGGCCCTGAGGAGAGATCTGGAAGATCCAGCCACTGAGGTCCCTGTGCTGAGTCCCTCTCTTACACTGTGCTCTGGACCCATCTTCCCAGGGTCTAGCTCTCCTGTTCTTGCACCACCAGACTGGAGAGTACACTAACCCAGACCTCCAATTACTGTGACACTACCCTATCAAGCTTAAGTTCTGAGGAGGAGTCTGTTGGCTGCACCCAACAGGGAACTTTGGTGTACTCTTTTTCTGGAGAAGCTCTTGGCAGTCATTGAGCTATGTGGCTTTAGAATGAGGGCCAGTCTTGAACCCCTCCTGCAGGCTCAGCCAGCACCACCCTAACAGAAGACTGTTTTTATCTGTCCTCCTAAGTCCTGGTGGCCCTGCCCTGCTGAACTCAGTTCTGCAGCTGAGAAGGGAGTGCTGCTCAGAGCTGGGACCTTTGGAGTACATCTCCCACTGAGGCTCTTGTCTGGCTCTTAGATAGGTGCTAGGTGGTGTTGCTGTGGAGTAGGGGGAAGGCAATGTGTTTGCCCCCCTCCTGCAGCAATGGCCAGTACCAGCCCCAAAGGAATACTCATTTGATCTGTCCTCCCAAGTCTCAGTGGCTATGCCTGGCTGAGCTTTCTCCTGTAGTGGTGCTGGCAGCTACACTCAATCTGAACCTGTGGTACGCTTCCCCTGGGGGAGTTAGGGTTGGAGACTCTGGCAGAGACTAAGTGGTATGACTCTGGAGTAGGAGCCACATTTCCCTCATTGAGTGCCTGATTACGTTACCCTCAAGCAGGAGACCCACTAGCCCCTCCTCCTGACCCCGGTCAGCCCACCCTACTGAGCTTGCACCTTGTGGAAGGGCCTGTGGGTCATGGCCAGCCTGGGCCCACTGTACAATCTTTCTTCAGAAAGCTTTGGAGGAAGACATGGCAACAACCTCAGTGGATGGCAGAGTAGCCAGCAGGTGGTGGCAGACCTCAGAGAGCTTTGGACCTTTTATTGATCTGCCCATGGCTCAGAGATGGAGGAAGCCAACTCTTATACACAGCTTGGCCCTTCCTATGCACACTCAGGTCTGGTAGGCACAGCCATAAACAGTGAATAGCATGGTAGTTCCAGACAGGTAGCCCAAGGCTGGTTACACAGAACATCTAACATTGACCTGCACCAGAACCCTGCCCAAAAGGACCCAGAACCAAAACAACCAGTAGTAGGCTTCAGACCACACCAGAGTTCAGCCCAACTAGCCATGCAAGCAGCACATTCTAAGAAAGGTTCCTACAGGCACCAGACCCTGCTGGGAAGAACTCCACCTTGCTGGGCCCGAGGTGGCCCTGCTGCACAGTGACTCATACATGGTGATTGAGGTCTTATTTTTATAGTCAGCCTGTCTGAGGGCTAAATCTGCCCACAAATTGATAACTCAACTACAATAGGAAGGCACAAATAACCCACACACGAGATATTCTTGAAGCACCCAGCTCAGGTGATCCGTAAGTTTGTGCCACTGAGCCCCACAAGACACCTACATCATAAAGCCATCCTAACAAATTTGGGAGTCAACCTAATGCACAGAGACAAACAAAATAGGGAGACAACTATGCACAAAATGAAAGAACAAAAGAAATTCCCCCCCTCCAAAAAGAATTAAATGAAGTGGAAACAAGATACCATATGCAGAGTTTAAAACATTGGTTATAAGGATGCTCAAGAAGCTTAGGAGAAGAAAGTGATATCAGTGAGATTTTAAACAAAGAGATAGTAAACATTTAAAAGGACATAGAAACCATAATAAAGGCCCTGGCCGGTTTGGCTCAGTGGTTAGAGCATCAGCCTGTGGTCCACAGAAACCATAATAAAGTAACCGAAGTGAAGACAACAATATCTGAAATAGAGAATATGACAGAAAGAATCAGTAGCAGGTTAGATGAAGTAGATTATCTAATTAGCAATGTAGAGGACAAGGAAACAGAAAACACCTGAGCAGAGCAACAAAAAAGAAAAAAAAACAAAAAAAATGAGGAAAGTCTAACAAAACTATGGGACATTGTCAGGTGTAACAATATCTTCATCATAGTGGTACCAGAAAGAGAAGAGAGAGAGCAAGGGATCGAGGACCCTGTTTGAAGAAATAATGGCTGAAAACTTCCCTAACATGGTGAAAGAAAAAGACAAATCTGGAAGCACAGAGCCTCCCAAACAAGATGAACCCAAAGAGGCCCATACGAAGACATAGCATAATCAAAATGACAAAGGTTAAAGATAGAGAGAATCTTAAGAGCACCAAGAGGAAAACAGTTAGTTACCTACAAGGGAGCTCCCAAAAGGCTTTCAGCTGATTTCTCAACAGAAACACTTCAGGCCAGAAAAGATTGGCATGAAATATTCAAAATGATGAACAGCAAGGACCAGCAACCAAGGCTATTCTATCCATCAAGGCTATCATTTAAAATTGAAGGCAAAATAAAGAGCTTCCTAGACACACACAAAAACTAAAGGAGTTTGTTACCACCAAACCAGTATTGTAAGAAATGTTAAAGGGCCTTCTTTAAAAAGAAGAAAGAAACAAAGCAATAGAGAGGAACCTAAGTATAAAGAATAAAATGACAATAAATAAGTACCTATTAATAATAACTTTTTTCATATAATTTTTTTATTGACTTTTAGAGAGAAAGGGCGAAGGAGAGATAGAAACATCAATGAGAGAGAACATTCATTGGCCACCTCCTGCATGCCCCCTCACTGGGGATTGGGCCCACAACCCAGGCATGTGCCCTGACCTGGAATCGAACCAATGACCTCTTGGTGCATGGGTCAATGCTCAACCACTGAGCCATACCAGCTGGGCTCAATAATAACTTTAAATGTAAACAGATTAAATGCTTCAATCAAAAGACATAGGGTAGCTGGATGGATAAGAAAATATGACCCATATATATACTGTCTAGAAGAGACCCACCTCAGAACAAAATATATAAACAGACTGAAAGTGAAAGGAGGAAAAAAGAAATTCCACATAAATGAAAACAACAACAACAAAAAGCTGGGGTAGCAATACTTGTATCAGAAAAGTAGACTTCAAAACAAAGGCCATAACAAGAGACAAAGAAGGACATTACATTATATTAAAAGGATCAATCCAGCAAGGGGATATAACCCTTGTAAATGTATATGCACCCAACATAGGAGCACCTAAATATATAAAGAAAATCTTGGTGGACACAAAGGGAGAGGTTGATAGTAACACAGTTATAGTAGGGGATTTTAACAGCCCATTGAAATCAATGGATAGATCTTCCAGACAAAAATCAAGAAGGCAACAGCAAGCTTAAACAACCCATTGTACTACATGGATTTAATTGATATTTATAGGTTGTTTCATCCCAAATCAGCAGACTGTACATTCTTTTCAAGTGCAGCTGAAACATTTTCTAGGATAGACCATGTTAGGACACAAAACAAGTCTTAATAAATTAAATATTAATCATATCAAGCATCTTCTCTGACCACAATTGTTTAAACTAGAAATAAATTACAATAAAAGAAAAAAATAAACATTCAAACACATGGAGGTTAAATAACATGTCACTAAACAATAAATGGGTCAAACAGTGAGATCAAGGAGGAAATAGAAAATTACCTTCAGATAAATGAAATGAACATACAGCAATCCAAAATCTATGGGACACAGCAAAAGCAGTCCCAAGAGGAAAATTTATGGCATTACAGGCCTAATTCAAGAAGCAAGAAAAATCTCAAACATCCTAACCCTACACCAGAAGAAGTGGAAAAAGAACAACAAATAAAACCTAGAGTAAGTGAAAGGAAGGAAATAATAAAGATTAGAATGGAAATAAATCACATAGAGACGAAAGAAAACAATACAAAAGATCAATGAAACCAAGAGCTGATTCTTTGAAAAGAATCAAGATTGACAGACTTTTAACCAGACTCATACAGAAAAAAGAGAGAGGACTCAAATAAGTAAAATCAGAAATGAAAGAGGAGAAGTAACAACTAACAACACAGAAATAAAAAGGATTATAAGAAAATATGAACAGCTATATGCCAAAAAATTGG